TGCCTTGGCCTGCTGAGGGCTGCGCCGGTGCGGCCCGGCCTCGGCGGCTGCCCCCACCGCCCCGGCACGGCCTGCGCCGTAGCACGCAAGGCCTGGAGCCCTGAGGAGGAGGCGGCTGGTTCAGAGCGAAACGTGAACAAGGTAGGGTGAGGAACCTGGTCCGGGGCATAGTCACAGAATCAGAACGGTCTGAGCTGGGAGAGACCTTCAAAGATCACCTAGTGCAGCCCCCTGCCATGGGCAGGGACACCTCCCACTAGCCCAGGTTGCTCAAAGCCCCGTCCAGCCTGGCCTGGAACACTGCCAGGGAGGGGGCAGCTGCGACCCCTCAGGGCAACCTGCTCCTGTGTCTCACCACCCTCACAGTAAAGAATTTCTTTCCTATATCCAAACTAAACCTACTTTCAGTTTAAAACCATTGCCCCTTGCCCTATCACTACAGGCCCTGGTAAAAAGTCTCTCTCCATTTTCCCTATAAGCCCCTTTTATATATTGAAAGGTTGCAGTATGGTCTCCCCAGAGCCTCCTCTAGCCTGAGCAACCCCGGATCTCTCAGCCTTTCTTCATAGGAGAAGTGTACCAACCTTCTGATCACTTTTTGTGGCCTCCTCTGGACCCACTCCACCAGGCCCATGGCTTTCCTGTACTGGGGACCTGACGTGCAGAAACAAACTCTACAACTCTGACAGAGTTATAAAGCAGGCATGTTTATTCTGGCCGGGGTGCAAGGGGATTTCTCCACAAAGCTGGCACACCGTCTCTGGCAAGTAGACAAATATTTATTACAACAGAACATGCATATCCATTAGGAAGGGCTGGGTCATTACAATTAGTTCGGGGAATAGGTGTGATTATTATAATTATTCAAGGGGAGAAGTATGTGACCTTCTTCACAGTGTCTGCTCTCTCCGGGGCATGAGCTGTTAAGCAAAGTCCACATGTCTCCTTTCTAAATCGGGAAGATCATCCTCTCTAGATAGCACCTCTTAGTCGTTTTGTTCAAGTTTAAGTTTGCCTAAGTGTCCATTCAGGGCTTTGCTTCTGCTATCAGCGAGTGTCCTTTTAATTCATACCCCCGGGCTACCTGCTACTTTCTTATCATAGCCAATCCCCAAGCTATCTGGTAAACCACAGTGAATCCACAAAACAAGTCTGGACAAGCAGGATTCTTGGACAACGTTCAGGAATCATCATATGTTGCTATAAGCAAATAATTTGCAAGAAAAGTGCTTATTTCCCTGTATCAGACCCCAGAGCTGGACACAGGGCGGGGATCTCATGAGAGCAGAGTAGAGGGGCAGAGTCACCTCCCTCGACCTGCTGGCTACACTTCTCTTGATGCAGCCCAGGATATGGCTTTCTGGGCTGCTGGCACACATTGCTAGCTCCTGTCCAGCTTTTCTTCCACCAAGTCTTTCTCTGCAGGGCTGCTCTCAATCCACTCATGCCCCAGCCTGTGTTGATAGAGATGATTGCCCTGACTCTGGTGCACTTGGCCATGTTGGACTTCATGAAGGTCCTCACAGCTGTTATTCCCTGAGAATGGGTTGGTGTGTGGAGACAGTGCTGTGCCTGTGCTGTGAAGGAGGCCAACTGCACTCTGAGGTGTATGAGCAAGCAGGTAGCCAGCAGTTTGAAGGAGACAGTTATTCCCCTCTGGTCAGTACTTACGAGACTTTGTCTGGAGCACTGAGCCCAGTCCTGGGCTCCCCTGGATAAAACCCGACATTGCTGTTTTGGAGCAGGACCACCAAGCTGGTCTGGGGCTGGAGCACGTGATGTGTGAGGAGAGGCTGAGCGCTGGGTGTATTCAGCCTTACGAGTAGGAAGCAAGGTTGTATCCCTGTTTGCAGGTAAGGGTAGGCGAGATGGAGCCAGACTTCTTGGAGGGGCATAATGAAAGGGCAAGGGACACCTTTTCTTTTTCACCATGAGGTTGGTCAAACATGGGAATGGCCCCTGAGAAGTTGTGGGCCAGTTCCTAGGCAGTGTGGAATTTATTATAGTAGATGTTGCATCTCCTCAAATACAAGCAGAGAATCTCTCTTTGCTCGTCAGGTGTCTTTGTGCACGGTGCTAAAGCTTTATAGGAAGTATTCTGTGTTCTGCTGAATGCTAACTGTCCCAAATGCCTGTTCCAGGGAAAGCATGTACGTCTGAAACAGACCTTGGTGGGTATAGAAACAACCAAAGATATGAGTACATGTGACCATGTACCAAACACTTTATTTATGTCTGCACAAAACCATGCAGGCATGGGCACACATAGGTAAGTCTTTGGGTTTGTTGTTTTAAGATAAGTCTACTAGGTGGAGTAACTCACCTTCATCCTACTTCAGGCCGGGGTAAAACAGCTCCTGCTCTGCAGGTCTCCAGATGAGAGAGGGGTCTGAGCTCATGTTTTGACGTACTAGGTGCCAGGTGCTGATAGGTAGTTAGGTTGTTCCCTTCGCCTATTTAAAAACCACTCATCTGTGTTTTTTGTCTCTGCAGCTTGAAAGTTAAATTATACTGCTCGCCGGTAACCAAGGAATTGCTGTTGACTAGCCGGAAATACAAGTTTTGGGAGAATCACATTGTAAGTTTTTGTTTCTTTTTAAATCAGCACTTTCCATGCAGTGATTCTAGGAAAGAGGAAGCTTCCCCTCCTCAGAAATGTCTAAATGTTAGTGTTGATGCAGTGTTTCAGGGCTTCAATACTTATATCAGTATGCCTTTCCTTGCTACTTGCTATGTGGGATTGGTTTATTGTTTATTTTTTAATCTTATTTTTCCCTCCACAAAATGTATCTGTTTCTCTCCACTTCAGATTTAAATGTCCTCCATCTGTACATTGATCATTTGTATCGCCCCTCCATTTTCTTACCTTGCTCACGTCTCTTTGCTCCTGTCCTTAATTTCTCCCTTTCTTCATTTAAATTCTCGTATTGCTTGGAAAATATACAATCACTTAGTTACATTATTTTCCTTTTGCTTTTTGGAAAATGAACTACCTCTAACATGAAAATGTTTTAGTGATGTAAAATCACTCAAGAACGTAATTACTTTATTTGATTTCCACTGTTTGGAGCCAAACTTCGGGGGATTAGTGGTCATCACATAGTGTAAGGATTTTGCTGTATCCTCCAAGCAAGAACAGGAGAGTTTTCTAGTCAAGTGGAAGGTCAGGAAAGACTTCAGGCAAGCTGAAACCTGTTTTTTTTTCTGGGGGAGTTATGGCTCAGAGTTTCCTAAAATAGGTTTTAAGTGTGGGTCTTAACTCTATATCCAAAGAAGCTCATAGAATGGGACCTAGGAGGTAAGTCTGGGTAAGAGGAAAAAAGAGAAGTAGGGGACTTTTCTGTTCAAGATCCTAGTTTAATTGTGAAGCTGAAGGAGAAGATAAATGGCTTTATATGATTATGATTTCCAGTCTGACCTTTAGTTGTATGTATGGCATAAGAGGCTCTTTGGATCTGTTGCTGGTTTTAACATTTAAACTATCAAAAATGAGGAGAGAAGTCTGCTGGAGATACTTTCATTTGTGCTGATGAAGCTAAATGGTGGCTGTCAGTGAAGAATTGAGGCAGTTTAGATCTAAAACTTGACAATGGTTTCACTGCAGTAGGAAATTTGAGAATTACTGGGAAATATTGAGCATGCAGAGTTTAGATCATCCTCTTGAGTTTATCCAACTTCAGAAATTGTAGATGATAAAATTCCTGTTGATATTTTAAAAAATCAGCTCTTGCTGCTGGCTTGAATTCTAAAATACCTTTTGACATACATAGCTGTGTTTTGGAACAAGCTCTGTGTTTGATTGGTGGTGTAGTTTCTGGTGGAGAGGCCTGTCTCATCCCACACAGTGGGTTAGGATAGGGGTGAATCTTGAGTTCCCCAAGAGCCTGTGTGCCTCTGGAAGAGCCGGGGCCACAGGGCGGCCGAGTCACCACAGTGACTCAGAGGAACAATTGTGCTGGTGACTTTATTAACTGACCACTTTAGTAAGTGAATGGAGACAATTTGGCAACAATCAACTGAGAACCGTCTGAGAATGAATAAAGGCACTTTGGTGATCAGACTGTTCTCCTAATAACCCATCAATTATCAACCCAATTGCAGTTCAACTCCTGCAAAACTTATACACATGAATATATGTGAGAGAGAGAGAGAGCAGAAAGAGGAGAGCGAAAAGAGAGGAGGAAGGAATAGGTAAAGGGGAAATCACCACCCTTGGATCCCGCATTGTCACAGAGCAGCCGGCATGATCGGTAGGTGGTGGGTCGCCAAAGACACACGTGGGGTATTGCCTTTATATAGTCTTTCCTATGCATGCACAGTAGGTTGTTCCAGAAGGTTCTCATTTTCTCAGGCTTGTACCTGTGCAGTTAGGATGTCTCTGGGCAAACACAGGAGGGGCAAACACACTGCCCCACCTCCACAGAGCTCACTCAGTTCCCCCTGCCCAGGGCGTCCCTCTCGAGTTGTTTGAGACATCCTCTTTACAAACAGTTTCTTGTTCATGAACATTTTGTGACAAAGCCAAATGTTACCTACCACCTTTGTGTGAGTACCAGCTGAATGGAGCTGCCCAGAAATTTGCAACTTGGTGTCTTGTGAATCCATCTAGTGCAGTGAAACCCAAGGTGCTGAGGAGACCACTCAGCTGAGAGGCTGGAGGTTATATCTAAGGAGGGTAATGACAGGAGACTTTCCTTTCACTTTGGCTTTTTTTGGCAGGAGAATTATATACAAATATTGTCTGAAACAAACAAAAAAAAACCCAGGAGGATGGGAGATGAGCCTGCATAGCAGTGCTGTTATAATCAGACAAAGCCAATTTTTATAAAAATATATATTTTTATTTGGGTCAATCAATTTAGGGTGGGAAGCAATAGGCAAAGCAGCGCTGGGTGCATGGAGAACCGCAGCTCTGCCACACACACCCCGAGTTCCAAAAAGCAGCGTTTTTATACTCTTGTGCCATCGTCTTTAACCAATCTCCTCCTGTCAGGTAGTTGTCCTGCTCTTTTTCATTGGGTCATTTGGGTTGCTGGGGTGCATGTCCTCCTCCTATTGGGTCTTTTGAAAGTCTCGAAGCCTTGGTCTCCTGGCACACTTTCCTTCTATTGGATCTTTTAAAAGCCTCATGATCTCATCTTTTTGGCGGGCTTTTCTTCAAACAGCAGTTACATGTCAGCTCTAGGTGGGGTTTCTGAGACGGGGTTACATTGTTCCAATCTGAATGTCCCACTTTACATTTAATTGTTTAACTTTTACAGATCATTCAAGTGTACCTACCCACCTTGCCCAACCTAGCAAATTAGTTACAATAGTTTATTACAGTGCTAATTGTGCAGGCGACCACAGAGCATGTATGTTGGACTCTTAGTAGAGGATATGACAAAACTGGATTTATTGCACTCTATAGATGAATCACCTCAACACAAACAGAGATATGTGCTGCATGTGACTTGTGGGCTCTGCTTCTGGTAAGAGTGAACAGTGAGGAGAAGTGCTGCAGCCCAGAGATCTGTCCCAGCAAGATCCACTGGAGTGCTCTGGGATTGGGATCTCTTGGGCTTTACAGTCATCCAAAAATAAGGCATATGATCCAGCCAGAGAAACCAGAGCTGCTGCTGGAAGTCCAACTTGTTCTGACTTTTTTTAGGCATGCGCACCTTGATAGTGGTATCTCCATTTCATTTTTAGATAACTTTTAGAAAACTTTTTTTCCATTGGAAATGGAAATTCATGACTTACTGGGGGAAAATGAGTTAATTTTACAGGCTTAGCACTAGCTTCAGGGGGTGCTAAAGATGTCTAAATAATGAATACTTAGCCATAAGCATTGAGACAGGAGGTTCAGTAAATCCTGTAATGCATTTATTCATTTTGTTGCAGGTTGCATTGGAAGTTGAGACTCCAACTCAGATTTCTTTAGTAGATGAAACATCTGGTGAGGTAAGTTACAAAAAAAAAAAATTGTAATGGGCAGTATTACTGTTTAACTGAGTATGGGAAACAGATCTTACCTGTAACACCTCAGGTAGACGAACTTTTTAAAATGTCTGTTACCCTTCTCTCCAAGATCTGCAGCCACATGAATTCTTCTTCCCTGTTCTGTTCTTATTATCATAGAATTTTTTTGGTGATGTCTTTCAAGGGTATTAGTGATCTCCAGCTTACCTATTGCTCTTGTGATTTTTTCACTTTCTATTTTCTGGCCTATTTTAACAAGCTTTAAGCACAGGACTTAAAGGTCTGATAGAGCATCTCCAGGCAAAGTGTATCCCAAGATATTTCCATGATGCTGGTGAATCAAAAGCTGGACATGAGCTGGCAATGTGTGCCAGCAGCCCAGAAAACCAACTGCATCCTGGGCTGCATCAAGAGAAGTGTGGCCAGCAGGGCGAGGGAGGTGACTCTGCCCCTCTACTCTGCTCTCATGAGATTCCCCCTGCAGTGCTGTGTCCAGCTCTGGGGTCCCCAGTACAGGGAACACATGGACCCGTTGGAGCGGGTCCAGAGGAGGCCATGAAGATGATCAGAGGTCTGGAACACCTCCGCTGTGAGGACAGGCTGAGAGAGTTGGGGGTGTTCAGCCTGGAGAAGAGAAGGCTCTGGGGAAACCGTATAGCAGCCTTCCAGTACTTAAAGAGGTTACAGAAAAGGTGGTGGAAAAACATTTTACCAGGGCCTGTAGAGATAGGACAAGGGATAATGGTTTTAAACTAAAAGAAGGCAGATTCAGATTAAAAATAAGGAAGAAATTTTTTGCGGTGGGATGGGTGAGACACTGGCACATGTTGCCCAGAGAAGCTGTGGCTGCCCCCTCCCTGGCAGTGTTCAAGGCCAGGCTGGACGGGGCTTTGAGCAACCTGGGCTAGTGGAAGGTGTCCCTGCCCATGGCAGGGCCTTGGACTAGCTGACCTTTAAAGGTCCCTTTCAATCCAAAATAATCTATGATTCTGTGCTTGATCACCAGGAACCAAGGAAGTAGGACTGTCTTCTGGCTGACTTGCTTTTATGAGCACCACACAATATTCACTCATCTCTTCAGGCATGACAGGATGGTTGTTGCTCTTCAGGGCTTGTTGGAATGCGAAGTGACTCTTCATTTAGGGGTTGGAATGGGCTGCCCAGGGAGGTGGTGGAGTCCCCAACCCTGGAGGTGTTTAAGAGTCGGGTTGACATAGTGCTGAGGGATCTGGTGTAGTTGGGAACTGGTAATGTTGGGTTGATGGTTGGACTGGATGATCTTCAAGGTCTTTTCCAACCTAGACGATTCTGTGAAAAACAATGCTAAATGCTGCAAGGGGCTGTGAGGAGTTGTCAACGAAGGTCCTGTTAGTACCTATTAGAGTGTGAAAATCATGCTAACTCATCTCTTCCAGAAAGAAGATATAGAGGTGACACTTCTACCAGCTGGTCACTGTCCAGGATCAGTCATGTACGTCCTTTCAGAACTCTAAATGCCTCTTGAGAAATTTGTCCTGTAGAGTTCTCACTAAGTACTGGGTTTTTTCTAACTAGAAAAAGCTAGTGAATTTAAAATCCTTATTTGGAGATAATACCTCTTACTTAATAATACTTCTTATGTATGACATTAAAAAGAAGCTCAGCTTCCTGGTACATGTCCCTGATAGATTCCTTTGGCTGCAACAGACAGATGGGATACCCTCACAGAGTCTTCTGTCCTCAACTCTGATCAGCCTAGGCACAGTCTGAGTTACTGGGTTTATCTGAAATTACTCTAGGAACAAATTGAGCCCAGTATTTCGATTACATTATATGTTGTTGAGTTTGACCAAAGTGTTTCTGTTTGTAGGTTTTTGTTTGAAGGTGAAAATGGCACTGTGCTGTATACAGGGGATTTCAGGCTTGCAAAAGGAGAAGCAGCCAGAATGGAGCTTTTGCATTCAGGGACCAGGTGAGACTTCAGCTATTTATGGAATTTAGAAAGAATAAAAGATCACACAGGCATGGATGCTTCAGAAATAATGAATCATTTAGTCTGGATTACATCTATATGCAGTCAAGCAATACTGCAGTTACAAGCCCCCTTTGACTTGCTCTTTGTAATAAAGAGGAAGAATTGCCTCCTTTTGAAGACAGAGGAAGTGGTCTGTCTTAGTACTGTGATGCACTGCTCACTCATATCACATTTTCCTCCTTCAGAGTAAAAGACATCCAGAGTGTGTATTTGGACACCACTTTCTGTGATCCCAAATTTTATCATATACCAAGCCGGGTAAGTCTAAATAAGCTGTGAGAGAAAAGGTCCTTAAAGCTGCAAATTAATTAACCACTCCTTTACTAGGTAAGTCTTGCAAGGCAATGCCATTTTGCATTGCCAGATCACAACACTTTGGAAGTATCTTCAAAGATGATTCACAACATTTTCTAAACTTTTCAGGAGGAATGTTTAAATGGGATCTTAGAGTTGGTGCGAAGCTGGACCTCACTGACTCGCTATCATGTTGTGTGGCTGAATTGCAAAGCTGCTTATGGATATGAATATTTATTCATAAACCTCAGTGAGGAACTTGGAATCAAGGTAAAGTTTCTATAATTGTTGCTTTAGAACAGTAATGATTGTGGCCAGTCACCAAGCTGGAAATGGCTGTTCAGAGGACTGCTGTGTGTGAAAGATGTGCCTGCTTTCATTAATTTCTCTTAAAAAGCTATGGTTGTGCTCAAAATGCGTTAACTAGTTGACTGCAGCCTGGAACATCTGGGATCTCTGGGGAGAAGTTAATCGCCAGTTTTCAAGCTCAGTGTTTACCTCTCTCCCTTTTATCTTGTGAAGGATAAAAGCTTTCTCATTACGTATGACATTAATAGTTAGCTGATAAATTCTGACTTTCTTTGATGAATATTCATCCCTCTTCAGCACAAGAGGTATGTTCTGCTTGTTCCAGATGTCCAAGTTACTTTTGGCTAACACTTCCCCTCGACATTACTAGTGGGTAGTGATTGTTTAAATGCCTAGGAGCATTTGTTGAGAGCTGAACCACATCTGTATAGTGGCTCCAGCTGCAGTCTGACAAATACATTGGCTAATTAAGAATAAACTGCCTTTCTCTAGGTGCACGTGAACAAACTTGATATGTTCAGAAACATGCCAGAAATCCTCTACCATGTTACTACAGACCGACACACTCAGATTCATGCCTGCAGACATCCTCGGGTGTGTATCATTTTGTAAAGCCTCTGCTAACTTTTCTATGAAAGACTGGTTATAGGTGCTGATGTTTTGGTCCTGTTGTGCTAACAAAGACTTTGGCCAAATGGTGGCTTAGTGTAAAGAGTGAGAACTTTAGTTAGTGGGTTGAAGGCTTTTTTTAAAAAAGAAAAAAAGGAAAAAATATATTAGCTGATGCTAGAAATAGTTGAAGATTGTATTTTTAAATGAAGTAAGACAAGCAGCAGATCAGATCAGCCAGGTGTTTATCCATTTAAGTATATCAGCAGCAGCTCAGATGATGCCTCCTGCAGCCATGCACTGTGTGCTGTAGTGTTTGGCCTTCCCTGTCCAGGATGTCTGTCAAGCTGAAGGCTCCAGCTTGGAGGAGTGCAGGCAGAACGGGAGGTGACATGTTGGGGCCTTGGTCTCTGATTGATTTACTTTGTCAGCTGCACTATGGAAGCAAGATACAACAACAAACAGTGTTTCAAAGGAGTTGGGAGAGATGAAAACTTAGTCTGGCTAGATACTATGTTGCTCATTTTCTGGGGGAAAAAGGTCATGATTACAATGGTATTGCATTTGACAGGATGATGAGTACTTCCGAGGGAACAGACTGCCCTGTGGGATGACTTGCCGAAATGGAACTCCCTTGCACATCATCAGCATCAAACCCTCCACTATGTGGTTTGGAGAAAGGATCAAGAAAACCAATGTAATAGTGAGGTGAGCATTTAGGCCATGCAGAAACCTGTTGTTTCAGGTGCATATCTTGCCTGACACTTGTATAACTGAATCTCAAAAAGGACTTTTTAGGAGTAGGTTATGCTTGCCTGCGGTTACCTTATTTTTGTGCCTCTTCTTTTCTTTAGGACTGGAGAGAGTACATACAGAGCTTGTTTTTCTTTCCACTCTTCATACAGCGAGGTTTGTATACTTGTAGTACTGAATGTACATTGATTTAAAAAATTAAAGGAGTTTTAATTATTTTGGAGTGGATGACGTGACTTGTCACAATAAAAAAAAATGTTTTCATTAATAAGACATAAGGGGATAGGAAGTTCTGGATGCTGAAGACAGAAAAGTTTGGTTTAATATAGCTGCAGAAGAGCATGTTAAGGTAGGGCAGGATTACTAGCCTTTTTTTTTTTTTTTTTCACCTCGAAGTATAGGTCACTGCTACAATTGTTTTGACTGCCTCTCTTTTAAATTATTGTGCAACTTCAATGCTTAAAGCTTGGAATTTTAGTTTTCAATACATTGTTTATCTGCTGTGACTCAGTTTTGGGTGGGTTTGCTGCCTTTTCCCTGCCCACACATTTAAACCAGATTCTCTCATGTCATTGCTGCCACTGTCTTTCTGTGTTAGTGACTGAAAGGAAATTGGTCATGGCAGCATCCTCGCCAGAATCACACTTTCATTTAATATGACTAGATCCAGTTCTTAAAATACTCCTCTCTCTTAAGAAACAGAACTGAAACTGGATCAGTGCTAACAATTAACCTGTTACAAAGCGTTGCACGTAGAACATGGAGATTATTCAGAACCCTAGAAAGACAGTCCTGTTTTTAAGATCCTGGATGAGTTTTAATTTGCTCTGCCATGCAGAATTTTACAATGGAGATACTAGCATAGTACATACAACATGGCAGCTTTTCTGGCAGAACACGGGGGTAGTGTATTGTAACAGTCTCATACCTCCACATGCAGAACCAGATGGGTCCTACTGGTCTGTATAGATAGGAGTGTAATATGCAAACTTGCGGGTGGTTTTAGTGCTCAGCAGGAGTGGAGTGTCCCAAACTGGACACAATTCTTCAAGAAATTTACTGTCTTGAGAGCATTTAGAAGACAACAGAGTAAAGCTTGGAAAAAAGTGACGTGTTTTGTCGTAATGGGCTTTTATAGTGGACTGAAGGGAGGCTTTAGGAAAAGCCTTTGAGGAAGGGAATAGGTATTCCTTCTGCACAACCAGGGACTTGAAGTCCAGTAAGAAAAATGCAGGTCTGAAAACTACGGCGGTAAGGACAGCGAAGCACTGGATCACAGCCCTAGGAACAGGTCCGTCTAGCCTTGTCCTTGAGATAGTGGTGGTCTCTGTAGCAGTTGGGAATTGCTGTGAGGTTGTTAGGTGAGACCGAGTTCTCAGCATCCTTTCAGACCTGTTTTTTCTTAGAGCTACCCACTTTGATAGTTTGGCTCATGGGTCATACTGGTCTTTACATGAGACAGCTGGTAGTACTTGGGGTAGGTGTGCTTTGATCAGTGCTGCCATTAAGTGAAAATATTAATTGTTGATGTAAATTGTTAAACTGCTTCATTTCTTCAATTTAGATTAAGGATTTCCTGAGCTATATCTGTCCTGTGAATGTGTATCCCAATGTCCTGCCCGTTGGTAGGACAGAAGACGAAGTTATGGAAATGTAAGTGAGAAGTGGCTGCTGAATGGAGGTGATATAATCTCTGTAAGGACAACTCCCCTCCTGAATCCCAGCCTCTCAAGCAGGCCACTGCCTTTTGCTTTACTAGTCTGATAATTCAAAATTTTTTTCTATATTCAGCCCTGCAAACTTCAGCTTTCTGAAGAACACCTCTATGTTGTGCTAAGTCTGAGAGTTTGCCTTCCACACACTACTTCTATGTATAGAGGCTTTTCTGCTGTTAAACACTGCTTGGGTGGAATCTGAATACGCATTCATCTCACTTTATTCTGTGACCTATTTCTGTTTGTCATTGCTACTTCTCAGAAGTTTCTTTTAAAGAGAGTTTCTCTGGGGACTTGAACTCCCTGTGCAGCATCACAGAGGCCTGTTCTCTTGTGCAGCAGCTTGGAAAGTGCTTTTATGGAACAGAGCAGTGGTGTCACTCAGTGAACAAAATGAGAACTTGTTTCTTTGTTCCTCCTCCTCAATGCGAAAGGAGATACTTTACAATTATCAATAAAACTGCCGTCAGATTTTGAACCCTGTCATCTTCTGTAAGCAAGGGACTAAAAGTTTTCAAATGGTGTACATATTTTATGGTTAATATATAGGAATGACAGATTTTTAACTTTAAACTGACTAAGCTCACCAAGGAATTAAGAACTTTTCCTTATCTATTGCTGCCTTTGCTTCAATACTTTTATTGCAGTGCCTGTGAAGGGCATGAAGCAGTATACATAGGTCACGTTAAAAGACTGACTTTTTCTTCTGAAAGTATCTGTTGAGTTCTAAATACTAATCTCCTCGTTCACCTCAGATTAAAGCCATTATGCAGGTCATACAGGAGAAATGTGGAACCCAGGTACAAGCCTTTAGGAACACTGAAGAGAGTCCACAAGAGAGACTTATCTGATACAGGTAAAGGTTCTGCTGGTGCTACTGTGCCTTAAATGAAAGTCTGAGACTAAGCAGAGGTGCCAAAAGCCATGGTGTTCACCACAGCCTGTCTGTGTTCAAAGCAACAGTTTCAAAGGAGAAATATAAATTAGGTTTTAGGAAGGTGAGGGAGCACTAATTGTGTAAAAGTGCACTTGTTTGCAATCTTAAAATGTACTCAATGCTCAACAGCCCTTTTAAGTTTCTGGAAGAGTTCCATCTCACAGTCCTAGACCATCCCTAGTTAAGCTTTTTCTAACTTTACTTGTATCACCTCCTGTGTTGTGGAGGGCAGTGATGTATTGGTGGAACTGCTCCTTGTCATTATCTCACACTGTTGGCTTTTTAGCACCTACTACCTTTTTAAACTTAGAATGGTAAATGGATGCTGTATGTAGCCTCTGGAAAGCCATTTGGGAACCAGAAGACAACTTTGGGCCTACATTCTCTTTGGCTATTTCAGAAGTGCCAAGTATGCAAGGGTAATGTAGTCCTGGCAAAACATGTCAGAGGCCCGAATAAATGTGTCTGTATCTGCTGTAGCTTACATGGCGGGTGGCAGATAGCAGCTTTCCTTGGAAGCACTGTGCTAGACAAGGCAAGGCAAATGCTGTCAGTAATGTCCTGCTAAGTCTCCATCTGGGTTAAAGAACTTTTTTCTCTCTTTATACTAAACGAATTTTTATTAAAACTTGTTCTCAGCGAAATTTTAGCAGATGTGAACTTTTCTTAGTGTTGGGTTTTTTTTCTGTTCTTTTCTTGACAGATGAAGATGATCTCTTTGATTCAGAATTAACTTCTGCAAGGCCCAAGATACCAAAACAGCAGAGAGAAGAGAGCAGACCCTCCAGCACAGGACAATCTGAAAATGCTGAAGGGAACATTAATGTAACGAACATCACAGAAAGTTCCAGAGCAATCACAACTTACACCTCCCACACGGTAGACTTCATGGACTGTGAGGAATCAAATGATGATGATGATGATGAAGAAGAATCTGAAAACAATACAGTACCAGTTATTTCCTGTGAGCCAGCTGCCACTTCCACCTCAAATTTCAATGGAGTAACTAGTAACCAGCTGGAGTCTAGTGCAGATGTCCCCCGCTGGGATGCATTTTTTAAGTGTAACAACCTAGAAGAAAGCTCAGAAAATGAGGACAACTTCCCATCTTCAGCAGATGCTGGTGGGTCCCAGTCACTCTTCAGTGATTCGGATGGAGTAAGCGACTCCACACACATCTCCTCCCAAAATTCTTCTCAGTCAACACACATATCCGAGCAGGGGAGCCAGGGCTGGGACAGCCAAATGGACACAGTACTCATTACCTCCCAGGAGAGAAGCGCCTTCGACTTCAGCAAAGGTGGGAGCAGAACAGTTGTTCCTGTACTGCAGGAGACTGCCAAAGACAGTCAGCCTGACACCAGCAGGAGGAAGTCACTGGGTCAAAACAGATCTTGTGCCCACAGCGTTGCCTGTGACTTGAAAAGCAAAGACTCTGAGAAAGATGCAGAAGCTGGCACTGCTCACGGTCAGGATGTGCTGGTGGAAATAAGTGACAGCTCCAGGACTCCTGATCTAGAACTGAGGAGGGACTCCCAGAGCTCCTCAGACTTTGAAATTCCCTTGACTCCTGGTGCTGAAGTGCCTCAGCCTGATAAACTGCATTGTTTATATAAGAAGCTAGCAGCAGGTGAAAACATACTCAATGAGAAAAAACTCTCCTGAAGGCAGGTATAGCTGAATACATCATGATAACAAATACTAGAATTGTTTTATTAAACTCTGAATTACTTTTCTTTTTAATGCTGCGACTGTGCTGATTCATGCATTTTTTTCAGAAATATCTTACTGTCAGAATTAGGAATTTGCAACCCCTGTAATGTCATTGTTCCTTCCATGAAATGCCAGAAAGGAAGGATTTCTAGGAGGGATTGTAAAAGCCTTCTGTCTCCCAAGGTTCAGTTCTCTGGGACTGTAAGTAGACAAAAAAGGGACAGACAAAACTGAGGGTGGAACATTAAATGAAATTTAGTGTTTATCATGAGCTCTAAGAGTTTGATATATACGTGATTTCAGGTTTTTAATAAGATACACCACATTTTTAACTGCAGGGAGGAACACATCTTTCAGGAATGACCATGCAAACAAATGCAATAGTTGCACTTTGACTTTAATCCTGAGTTTTCACAGCTGTTGTTTTTAAAAATTTCGCTGAGAATTACTGAGAATTGGTTTGAGTTTTTTTTTAAATCAAATTGTTCTTTTTAAGCAGTCTCTCTTTACACTTGACTCTGAGGAAATGTTGTCATCTGGTTTTAACTCCTGAATGAGATACTATACACCAGTCTGGTTTAATCTCACTCATTTTAAACAACTTGTCATCAAGTTCCTCCCTGGTTTGGTTTATTCTGAATTGTTTTTCAGAATGAACTTAAAGAACAAAAGTAAAATCCTGTGGCAGGTGGTTCCAAAGCCACCAGCCATAGCCTGCTCTGGAGGCGAACTCGCAGCAACAGAAGTGAACCTGTTGTCCCAGACAGGTTGTTGTTACTCAAGGCTCTTGTATTACCAAATTTCATTCTGCTGACGTGACTGAATTCAGACATGTTCAGATTTCTTTTTTAAATCAAGACAATTGATTCTCCATGCATCTGTGCCAACATAACTCCTTGCCAAAATTCTTAGCTTCTAAAATGGAAATGCAAGTCAGGTTTTTGTTAAACTGCAGTGCCTACAAAAATGCCTAAACAGAAGGAATTTAAAAATCCATGCAGTTTCTGCTCCATGTGGTCTTAAGCCCCAAAGACTTAAACAGATGTTTATGTTATGACAGCTCTCCCCTCTGAGTATGGCTCCAGTCTTTCTGCCGTCTTTAGCGATCCATGAATGTTAAACCAGCCACCATTCTTCCGTTGGGAACAGGGAGGGGGCAGAAGAAAAAAAATTGTTACCATCTATGTATGGTTTTGAGGATATTCAAGTCAATGTATTTCTCCACTGTCACCTTGCCCACTCTGTTCTTGGGATTTGTTAACATAATTTCCAAATGTGGTCTATCAAGTTTTTTTTAACAAGCTTGAGTGAGAGAAACTGCTGCTGTAATTACCTCTGTGAATAAAGTCATACAGAGCAGAATTTCTTCTGCTGGCCTGTTTCCTTAACTGCACTACACATATAAGTTCAGGGTTGTGTTTACAGTGTACTTAAATATACAGGAACCCAGTCTGCTTTAGACAAGTCGACAGCGTAAATTTATATGAGTTCTTACCAGCCATAAACTGAAGAGGAAGCACATGACTTCCTCATGCTTACTCCACTACAGTCCTTATGCTGCTAGAAAATTTGGGTACAGGACAGGAGTTAAGAGGTGGCAGGCTTAAAGCAAATTCTACTGCTCCAGCTAATTTTAACAGGCTAAGATTTCTTTTTTGTTAAGAATGACAACAACAAGAGAAAAACTAAATTTAATTTATTTTATCAAAAACTATAGGAAGATAGCAATACTAGAGATCACACATTATGAAGAGAAAATGTTCCTGAGCTTACAAACTGCATATTCTAATGTACACAGTCCTAAAATATACATTAGAAATAACCAAAAGACTGACTTAACTTTGAGATTAAATAAATAGACAATAGCTTTTCTTACAGGAGAGCTTGCAGCTTCAGTTTTGCTACCAAAAAAACTTCCCAGAATTAAACCCAACAAAAAAGAACAGCTAGAGGATAGATCACAGGTTACCAGTCTCCAAGAAGTGCATGTACACAACTGAAGTGGTGGCCCTAATGATGCTAACAGACCGCAAAGCGAAACAAAGGCAGAAGCTGGGCTGGTTTAGGCTCTTTAAGGAATTGAAAATAATCTTTGTCTCCTTTTTCTCATTTGGCAATTTTCCCCCGAACTCATAGAAAAAGCAGAAAGTTTTAAAAGTGACACGGTGTGCCATTAAGCTAATTCCATGACTGCAATCCAGATGCGCTGTGAATACGTAAATACAAAATACTGTTCAAGGCTCGAAACTGGATACATGGGTTTGCTTCAAATAAACACAAAATACTGTTACCTCCCAGAACGTAAATTAACGGTCCTTTATTTATCGCGCTCGAGGTAACGCACATATCCTTAAAGAACATAGGGTGGTAACATACACTGCCTCGGGAAAAAGGCAGATACTGAACTCAAGTACAACTACTAAGACTTTTATCTTTTAAAACGTGTTTACTTGCGATATTTAAATGAAACTGGGCATGAACACAGATAAACAAAAAGAGTGTCGAACCAGCCCTGCACAGGAGAGGCCAGAGAAACCGCTTTGTTCAGGAATCCATTTCTTGCCACAGCCACCCTCACCCTCCTGTACCGGCAGGAAGGCCGCGGACTGCAGTGGATTAAGGAGCTGGAGGCTGCAGACTCCATCCACGTGGAATGCATCGCTGAACCGGGCTACATGCAAGAGAAAGCACTAATGACTCCAAGTGCTGTAAGAACATTTGGAGTTTGTTAACTTAAATTAAAGCTCCATATTCCACTTCAAATTTATGTTTAAAAAAAAAAATTAAGAGATGGGGCATGGTAAAAGTTGACTAGATTCAGGATTTATCCAAGTGTGTGGATATAGGTGAGCCTGGTAACGTCAAAGACTTTTAAATCTAAGCGAACTTTTTCATTAAATAATAATAATTTTTAAAATTATTTCAAGGTGTATATCTGTATTGTAGATTACAAAACGTACACAGCACTTTCAGTGGCCCACACTCCTCACCCCACCTGTGAAACTGATTTTGGCTAGTAGCATATAAAATTTCACTTTCTGCCAAAGAGCCAGATCTTCAGTGCAAATGCAACTGTGCTTCTTAATGAATAACCAACCTGTACTATCCTTTGAAACACTTTTTGGAGTGCTAGTAATTAACATTAAATTTAAGGCATTTTCTAACAAATTAAGTAAACTGTTACATGCTGGGTACTCGATTTCATTCACCTGAGCCAACAGCTGTGCACCTTATAAAGGTAACGCTGACCTATGATACATAGCTAGCATCCATTTATGGAGCATTTTATTCTGCCTGACGCTATCAACGTTTACATGATTTGTAAGCAATATGCAAGTTTCACAAGCTTTTAATCCATGAGAATAAAGCGCTTAGATTATCGCTGGAGCACGGACCTTGGCTTTAACTCCACTTATAACCTACCTCAACTGCTCTTCAGTGTTTCTGAAGCCAAGTAAAACTTAGCATACATTATGAATAGCTCAAGACAACTTTTAAGATGATCAGGACAAAAAAAAAGACTCAAGTAACTGAAGAACAGTACATTTCTCAGCCTTTACATTCAAGAACATCTTACAAATGTCTACAGCAAAATGGGTAAACTCCCCTCTAGTCTAACTTCACTGAAGTTAACATTTTTGCAACAAGAAAAAAGTCCTAGTATCTTTCAAGTCTGTCACTAGATAAAAAAAGTCACAGTATGTAAAAACTTAATCAAGAATAGTTGTGAATACAAATCAATTCCCAGGGTATTTTTGCACCTAAAAGAGAAGTGAGCATATCTCCGTAATGCATTGACTTTGTTAGACAATGGGCTGCTCTCCCTGTTCTTTTGTTATCTATTTCCAAACTGTAGCCAGTGGTTAGTTTCAGCAATGACCGCCAAATTTCTGCAATGAAAAGAAACTGCACATGGTACTACCGATAGTCACAAATTCTCTGCAGACCTCCTATAGCATCCTAACTACAAATCAGAACATAACAACCAAAAAAACTTCTACGTGTAAAACTTCTAAATAACATAACATCGGCTAAAAACGTTTGAGACCTTGACCTTACATCTGGAATCTGCTAAAACCAATTACTTTACTTGTGTGGAGTTCAGTGGACATTTTACAATTTGCGTTCCAGTGAACCTTCATTTAGACACTGTCTTTAATCCCTCACTCCCATGCCATAAATGTTATTGCTGATCTCTTGAAGCTTTTCTTTATACATCAAAAAAGCAAAAGAACTGTCAGCTATATTTTAGGATTCAGATTAAATGCCTCCAGACTTTTCAAGGTATAAAAAAATACATAACATCACTTCATCCTACTGAAATCGGCTCCTAAAAGGCCTATGGCTATAAGCTCACATTCAAATATTCAAATCAAGGTACATTTTAAAGAGCTTTCTTAGCATACATTTTACTGCTTCCTAAATAAGAATTCTAAAAAAACCCTAAACTTTTAATCCCCTTTATCAGTTCTGTATTTGTCTAAAACACTACATATCTTTCTTTGGCCAATGCCATTTCAAATACAAATGTAACGCTTTGTTTTCACTGTACTTATTTACATTAGATTTCAGAATACTTGAATATATATGAAAGAAGAGTCCTCTTAAAACACATTTAAAAGAGAACAAAGTACTTGTGACTTTGGATACCCGAACTCAGTTGAGATAGCCTCTGCAACACACAGCTCCGCATTTACAGACAGTTCTGATCCTCTTTCTGGATGGGCTAAGACCATCAGCAGAGTCTGAAGTCAGATCTATTGAACCTGTGACACAGATAAACACAAATAAGAAGTTTGAGAAGATAGACTGAAGCCATGCTACGCATTCAGAGAACTTCAAAAAGCCTTCTACCACCTCAGTTCTTAAAAGAATTGTGTGTGAAGCTTTACTCAAATTCTGACACCCACATTACAACTACTTCTACAACACCTACCCACATTACAACTACTTCTACAACACCTCACATACATATCAGAATCCAAAGCTCAACAGACTAGAGCCTTGTACCCCCAGGTCTGTATCCACACTGATCAGCTGAGCGTGCAGCCTGTCTTGAGTGTCAGTGTCACAGACGCCACAAAAAAAGTTCTAAGGATTCAAGCAGATCAATTGTCAGTACTTAAAAGAGAGCTTCTATATGAATGAGGTACAGCTCTGCAGTGTAGAGATGCTTCTCTGAAAACAAAATAGGGCAAGCAATGTATTTTTGTTGTGGATATATGGTTTGCACAAAGTTTGGCACATGCAACATCCCTGCCAGCAAACCTCAAGAATTTTGTATTGTATTGGAAAAAAATGAAGTCATAGAATCATTTGGGTTGGAAGGGACCTTTAAAGACCATCTTGTCCAACCCCCTGCAGTGGGCAAGGACAGCTTTCACCAGACCAGGCTGCTCAAAGCCCCGTCCAACCTGGCCTTGAACACTGAATGGAAGGTCAAATTATAAAAGAATCACTGATTGGCCCAGGATGGAAGGGACCTCAAAGGATCATCTGGTCCAAACTTCTGTGGGAAAGGGAGCCTAGGTGAGACTACCCAGCACCCTATCCAATTGCATCTTGAAAACCTCCAGTGATGGAGACTGCACCATGTTCATGGAGAGGCTGTTACAGAGAAATATGGTTCTCACTGCAGAAAACTCTGGACCATCCTTCTTCCATCCTAAAGATCTGTACCATAGGACCTACATCCACAACTGAGGCCTACAGACACCAGAATCGAAAGACAAACCTATGGTGCCTTAGGCCACTCAGGTGTTACAACTGTCTTTATCACTAGGCAGATTACTTAGTAGTTTACCTGAAACACCACATAAATGCCTTTGAATAAAGGGAAGCTATTATTAATGGTATCCTGACCATTCTTTTGAGCATTCTTGTGACAAATCTTCAAAATAAGTTGCCCTGCCAGATATTGCAACCACAACCCCTTGCTGTGAGCTCAGAGCTCTGAAGGAGGAAACTCACTGGAGGTGCACGCAAAAGCTCCTGCACGCACTCAGACAGAGCAATGTCTGTTTGAGAACCCAGAGAGCTGTGTTAGGGAGATGCAGCACCTGACCTGAAATGCTCACATCAGGCTGCAACAGAATCTGCTAGTGCCCCAGACCTCCTGCAAGAGCAGTGTTAAAATCTGCAGACCTTTCATCTGATAGTCAAAGGTTAGCTCTTCTCCAGCCTTGATGGTTCGTGTAGAAAACAGTGCTATTCGAGGAAGACGCAAGTCGAGGTTATCAATAAACACATTGAACACTTGAAGATTTGGATCACACTGTAAGGCAAAAATGGACAGTTTCTGTTAAGAAAACTGCACAGTAAGTTTCACTGAAGTCTTTAAGTAAACCATGGTCACAGAAAAAGGAAGAACTGGTTCTTCTCTCAGTGACAGAAGCCTGAAATCAATTTCAGAAGATAACAAATTACATTCTTGAAATAGTGTTAAAGAACATTCTCGTTTAGAACAAGCTTAGAATCGAGCCCTGTCAAGAAGGCAGTCTCTACACAGTATGTAGACTACGCTAATACACAACAGCCTATTAGAAAAAAATAAATGCCATCTTCAAAGAAGGACAACAAAAAAGTAACAAGCAAAGCAATTAAAGCTACATTCAGAGGTTAGTATTTACCTACAAAACCCACAAAAGAATTAAAGTTGAAAGAAAAGAAAAAACATCTTGGCATTTCAAGCCATACACACTCCCTATTCTGTATTTAGGTTTAAGCACTGCTTCCAGGCCAGAAATATTATTTTCATACTACGGATAAATTTCTACTTTCAGGTGCTAACCTGCTTGGCTTCTGAATTATCTGATCTGGTCTGGGTGGCAGGAGGAGGGTCAAGGATTCTAAGCAGGAACTAGCAACCACTGTATCATTTTTTCTGGATTATCAGAAGTCAGTAGTCACTGAGACAGTTTGTTAAACTGTATGCTTTTTGCTCTCTAACGTGGGATATAGTGAAGCTAGGCATTTAACTTTACACTGGAGAGTGAGAATACTTCCATTTCCAAAAGTGAAGAGCAACTGTCTGTACCTAAAACTCGTCTTTGTCCTTCTCCCTGGCAAGCCCGCATGAAACATAAAGGTCATCAGCTGACAAATCTGAAGACATTAATTTACTGTATTTGTAGAACGCTGACTGCAGACCTCACAAACGTTACATCAGTAAGAACTAATAATTTTTAGTTCAGGAATCTTTACAAATGCAGCCCAGTCTTCTTGCTTTAGGTACTTCTGTTGAACATGAAATGAAACACTACAAAAATTTCCTGTTTAAAATTTACTTCAAGTTCTCTGGCAAGTTAAAATTTAGGAGGGAAAAAGGTATCTACAGGGGACAAATACCAAAGAAAGCACCAGAATTTTCATTTCTTCTTCTACCAATGTTTGAAGGATGAAATTCAGCGTAACACCCTGCTACAAAATAATGCATTGATTTCTATCATCTTTGCCTCTTCACTAGTTTTATTAAGTACTTCTCACATGTTAGATCTTTTAGGTACTTAGAAAAAACTACCCCCCAAACCAACCCTGTTTTGGTTGTCTAGAACTGGCATATTCAGTGACAACCCCAGTCCTACCAAATGCCCACTTCAGGCAGCATCTCATTCCTAGAATTTTTTTAGATAGACTTACTCCAAGTAAGGCAAAGTGTTCCATTCTATTTATGACATCATCTAACTGACTGGACTGTGCTGTCATGAAACAAACTACTTCAGAAAAACTGCGAATATGGCAAGAAAATGTTTACAATAGGAGAAGATATTTCTGGCACAATTAGGATAACTCTCCAACTTCTTAGTATACAAAACAAGGTCTTACACTGTGATTCACAAAGTGGGACACATTTCCATATCGAGCTGCATCTACTGTAAATTCATCTGAGTCATAGTCCAAATCAAACAAGTATGTATTTCCCTGGTTGTCATAGAACTGGCCTCGTCTCTCTGCTTCCTCACTTGTAATCACCTAAAAAAAGAAAAAAAAAAACACCAACGAAATCTGCATCATATTATTAACTACTACTAAATTAAAACAAAAATCACAATGAAGTTAGAAAAAATTTAATAAAAACCTCTACATTCACTTTTTGATGTTGAAATAGCATTCCATCTCTAATGAATAAAGAATACATACATACAGCTAAACTGTTTAGTTAGTGACTGAGGCTTCTCTGGATGTAATCAGTCTACAGCATCAGAAAAAAAAAAAAACCAAAACAGCATGTTCTATTAAGAGTTTTGATGATGACAATCAACTGTGTTTCTACTTGAAGTTTCTATACACACAATTTTTTCATTAGGCCTAGAGAGCCTTGTTTACCTCACATAAAGTTTCAAATTCCTCCCTTTGCACAGATAAAGGTACCAGTCTTTACAACACAGTCACATTTACAGTCCACTATTCATCTTCTCCCTCCCTAGAAGCATCTCTTCCTGCTATTTTTCACTTCAATGAAAGATCCTATTCATGATAACTTAAGACAGATAAATCACTTCACAAAGCTGAATCTATGCAATTAGTATAGCACAAGGTAGAAATCCAGAAACTCCCCAAAGGAAGAGAACTAGTCACTTTTGACAGAAGCAACAGCTTAAATAACTCCATCTGCAGTCTTTTAAATGTACTTTGTTGCACAGACTCAGCAAAGCAATTACAATTTGGCAGCAACAGATACAACATGTGGTGGAATTGGACAAGAAAAAAAACCCTAAAATCCTTCTGACACATCAGGTTTGAGAACTTATTCAGCAGTAGTGAATAAGCAGATTCAGGTGAAAGGGCAAATACACACTCTTTCCTTTAAGCAACAAAACTAAATAATTATCTTTCTGCATTAACCCTTCAGCAGACATATTTTGAATGACTGACCTCCTGTATGCTCACAAGAAAGATATGAAGGTGAAAAATTCAAATATTTGGGGCAGGAAGCATGGAGGAAATACAGTTAAGACCATAAACATTTGTACAAAGGGACAGAAGTAATTACTTTGTGTAAACTTAGCAGCAAGGCAGGTTTGCGTCTGAAATACAATAGACTGGATCAGAGAGGCTGGCAGGAGCTACTGATATAAAGAGCTCTGAAGCAGAGCAGAGGTTGAACCAAATAAACACAGGGCAATACAAAACCTCAGGAGTAACTCAAGATCGGTATTCTATAACATGAAAGTTCAGTTTGAAATAGTATGAGATTGAGTAAACAGACAACGTCCATACTACAAGTCTTAATCAAAAGTAATAAATACGTTTGGAAATACTACCTTAAAAGTTCAGACAAAACATAAAAGGGACTGACAGACTGACTGGACAGTTTGGCAATAACTGTGCCTGGGGAACAGCAAACACTACAGTAATAAAGATGATCAGGGAAGAATAAAGAATATGACTGCCATGAAAGAAGGACTTGCCTTTACAAACACTATTAGGGCATGTATATAAAATAATTCTTTAGTGGCATATGGGATAAGTATTCTCTTTACATTCAACCTCTTACAATTGCTCTGGAATGGAGGAATGTTCTGGACAGTATTTCTATCATCTTGAACATCTGTTTACTGTACTTCTCTACTCAAAAGCAGTCTTATCTATTAAACCGTAGAAGTCAAGAAGAGTTAAAACCAAGAGAAAGCTCATAAAGATTTTCTCCTTTATTGCAAATAATTCATCTGTATGAGATAAATACATACCTCTCCAACATATTCCATCACAAAACTGTTCATTTTAATTTTCTGGAGGGTTTTTACTCCCCAACCACGGCCATTGTTAGTTCTGAAGATGCAAAGAGAATACGGTGTACCTTTCTGTACTATCCTATTAGGGCAATCAGGCCCACACCTACAAAATGAATTGCATTCATAGATGGGCAAGCCAGGCTGGATTTTCAACTTCTTTTTTTTATTGTAAGCCAAAATAAATCCAGCCTCCTTCGGACAGCACTTCTCAGCGGGGCAGTCAGCGCATTCACAGCCAGTCGTTATTCCATTTATTACATTTATCCCCGGAGCAGGTTTATATTCATTAATGTAGTAGAAGTCTAAAGGAGGGCCTTCGAGATCCACAGTGTTTTCTACCAGAATCATTGCTTTATGATTCTTTTTCCTGTTGAGTTCTTCTTTCCATCTCTGCAGAGCTATTCTTTGCTTAGCCTTCTTTACAATGTAATCTGCAACTGCAGGTTTCAAAGCTTTAACATGGTTTCTCACTTTCAGTGCTTTGCCTTCTCTCACCCGAGACAAGTATTCATTCTTGTCACTAAGAAAATTTTGAAGAGCCAATGGGCATTTCAGGTTTTTCTGAGGTTCCCAAGTATTTGAAGATTCTGGCCATCCTTTCCATTTCACAAGATAGTATTCTGTGCCCTTGAAATACAGAAACAGATACAGATTTAGCCACATTTCATTTTGCTGAAACCCAGCATTACACAAACAAAAGAGCTCTGGAGATAAGAGATGGCATACAGTGCAGAAGGTCTTGATGTCCCCATAACAATTAGAACTGGGGAGAAAGAAAAATCAAGTTTTCTGTTTGCAAATTAACTTACAGAACAACTTTGGATACTTTACATATTATCTCTAGGGACAAAGAAATAAACAGCTGGGATGAACTCTGATCACTAGCAGTATACCTGGAGGAGGCTAGTTTGTTAAGGCAGTTAAGTTATACTAACCAGTTGCATGACTCGTATGCACAAGCAGAATGTAGTCGTATCACATACAGAAAAACAAATAAAAAATTCTAAACTTACCAAAAAAAAATCTCTAAACACCCACTATTTGTCATATCAAGCATCCTCCAAAAAGAGTAATGCATTCAAAACACATAATACTGTATTTGTAATCAAGAAGCATAAATTTAGTACTTATTTTAAAAAGGCCAAATAACTGTAACAAGGCCAAATCCTGACACTGAATTTCACTGGCACGATCAAGCCGTAGGAATCCAGTTGCAGCACATGGCCCTAACTCTTCACCAGACACACTACAACAGTCAGGAGAGAAATATAGACTGTTACCTGCAAATAAAGGAGAAGCATCATAATACATAACAAGCTACAACCTAAACACATCAGCATTGTGCTTTAACCTCTAGATACACAAAGGCAAAACATTTCATATTCTAACATCTCTGAAATTTCAGAAAAAGACCTTCCTCCAACATACTGAAAGCAGCAGTTATACCGCTTTCTGTTTATAGTTCAAAGTTTAAAAGGTATTTCATTCAAAGTCAGCAAGAGCTTTGTCCTCACAGCCTACTACTTTATATTATGAGCAAAACTACCTTTGACTCACTTCCAAATTTCAGCTGAAAGAGTTATCAAATTGGTCTGTGTTTCTCTTACCTCTTCTACCTTGTAGTCACACAAATATTCCACCTCATAACTCTTTAGACTCCTGTTGGTGATTCCAATGGATTTACATCTGAGATTTTCCTTCCTACATAATTCTTGGAGGGTCTCAAGTGAAGCTAGACATGGCACATACCAAGCTACAATAAGAAAATTGGTAAAGAATCCTATTTAATGTCTCGGCTAAATTGAAATCATTACGCCTTATCCCAGCGTCCCCACATTATCATTTGTGATAACAGTCCATGAGTCTCTTGTACAACTACAGTGTCTCACAGAGTCGATTTCAACCCTTCTCTAACAGGTAACATGTCACACGTCAATGATTCCCTGCCTGCTCCTTTATTCTGTACAGGATGTACATTTATAAACAACAGCAAATATTTGGGAGGGTAGAGACTTCCACAGGTGAAAGCAGCACTAAGAACCGGATAATTTTCCTACAATCAGCACCCCATAACTGAACCTCGGCGACAAGGAAACCTCCCTTCTTCAGTAAGACCACCAGATATCTGTAGTTAGTCAAGCGGAATCGAGCACTCGCGATGCAACCATGGTGACCGGACGAGGAAAGCAAGATCCACAGCGCTCTTCCAGAAGGATCGCGGGTGCCTTGTCAGCCAGGCGGATTTAAAGGGATGCGAGACACCGCGGCGCGGCACGACAGGAGCGCCAGCTCCCCGTCAGCGCCGGCCCAACCCCGCTGGGGCGGGCTGCAGTTCAGAGCAAGCGCCGGGCGTGGCGCTGCGGCGGGACCCGCGCTTCCCT